TGCTAGGAGGGGGGGGGGGGCAGCTGGAGGCCTGGGCAGAGGCTGCTGCTTCTGGGTTCGTGGGACACCTTCCCGGGAAGCAAAGGGGAAGGTCTCAGCTCGGAGACTCACCTGGGCGACGGGGAAGCGATGGGCCCAGCGATGCTGCGGTGCCGTGGGACAGCAGCCTTCCCTGTGCTGGTGAATGAGGGCGGTGTGGGCCTGGCCTGCGGCTGGCTCTGCTCTGGGATTTTTTCCCTAAATCCTGGTCAGACGGAGCGGCTGCCTAGCCCCTGCAGTGGCCTGGCTGGAGTCCTGGCTGGGCTCAGCAGCCCCTGATCACAGAACACTAGATCTGGAAGGGACCTCGAGAGGTCAACAAGTCGCCCCCTGCCCTCATGCCCGGACCCGGCGCTGTCTAGACCGTCCCTGAGAGATGCCCATCCAACCACCAGCTCTTCAGTCTCTCCAGGGGTGGAGGTTCCACACCCTCCCAAGGCAACTTATTCCAGCGTTTCACACCCCCACCCCCACCTCCAACGGTGAGGGTATGTCTAGACTGCGGAGTTGTTCGCTCTTCTGTGGTTTTTGCGGAAGAGCAGACATGCTCTTTCAGAAGCCCTGTCTTCCTCATGCCACAAGGAAGAAGGGATCTTCCAAAAGAGGAGGCTTTTCCGAAATTTGGCCCAGTGTAGAGGGGCCAAATTTTGAAAAGCCTCTTCAGACAAAAGGATCGGAAAAAGGTTCGCAAATTGCAGAGCACAACTTGCGTACCTTTTTCCGATACCAGTTTGTAGTCTACACTTAGCCTTAAGAAACGTTTCCTAATGTCCAACCTAAACCTCCCTGGCTGCGGTTTAAGCCCATTGCTCCTTGGCTTGCCATCAGAGGCCAAGGGGAACAATTTTTCTCTCTCCTTGTCTCACTTGAAAGCTGCTCTCATGTCCTGCTCCATCTTTTTTCCAGAGTAAACCAGCCCAATTCTTTCGGCCCTCCCTCCTAGCTCACGCTCTGTAGGCCTCTAACTGTGGCTTGTCTCTCTAGGTCGGCGAGATGCTGAGCTCTGCAGACCCTTCGGCCAAGGCCAGCCTGACTGTCAGCTGCCCTGACTTTGGGGAGTGGCAGGACTCCAGCCTGGAGCAGTAC